GCTGCATCTTCACAGCACGGCCAGGAACAGCCAGATGTRCCATCGAGATATCTATCCCTGTTGAAATCCTATCATCTGCAGCATGCAAGAATGAGATTTCATATAGCAAGATAAGCAGTCTGGCAGGCCACACTAGAGCAAAAATATGTCCTAAAAATATTCTGTAATTTGATTCCAAATTAAGAACTTTGTTTAAAAAAAAAAAAAAAAGCAAAAAGCACTTTCATTTGCATTACACATTAGGGATTTTAATGTTCCAATCCTTGAAGCTCCATTTACCCTCCTCTTCACTTCATCTGACTGATCACAAGAAGCAGATTGCATTTTTAAAGGAAAGCAGTTATTTCCTTATTAAGACAGACTCAAATAAGTCTCTGGCACTTCCATTAAAGCAAATTTTAAACAATCTTGGATGCATACCTATTCCCAAGTTTACCCATCCAAATAAGCTGTTGGGTTTCTTTGCACAACTGATGTAAACACTGAAGTTATACACAATTATTTGTTACAGAACCATGGAGTTGTACTTTAATCATCAATTCTGAAGTATTCTCAGATACTATAATAAACTGTGTCAAAGCTATAGCACTTCACCACACTGCACCRTAACAGCACAAGGTACTATACTAATCTGACTGATTTAAAATAAGCGCTGAGGCTGAATTCCTTCTGGCAAGAAAACAATCTTGCAAATTCCATTAGCAAAAAGGTTGCTAGAAAGGCATTCATTAAATATCCTAYGATTTTAACACTCAATAAAAATATTCTATAGTCTACTGAATATATTTTTTAAAAAACAAATTAGGGYRTGTGAAGATTTATTGCTAATTTATAAGTATTAGAGATGGATCATAAAAGAGCCATAGACTCACTTGCCTCTATTTAGCTACAATTCTCTAGCCACGTAAAACAAAAAGTTTCTTACATTCCTGTTTTACAGATTCTCTCCTTTTAATTTTCTTACACATGTCCAATGCAGAGAAAACATTTTGGCATGCACTAAGAAACACTTAAATATTTTTCCTAGAATGGAGACRATTAATCCAACCATCAATTAAAAACAGATTTTCTATTTCTGAATACATGCCTTTCACTTCAGTTGTGTGCACATGGAGACATAGAGAAAGGTGAGTGTTACTGAAAAGTAGACACTAAACAAGAGCACTCATTGCATAAATAGCTCGCACAAAAGCTATCTTATTTTCACACTGACTAGAACATATGCTCCAAAAAATAATTTTTGTATTTTAGTACATAAATCAACATTGGCTATGAAAATGTTTCAGAGAAGAATCGCTGAGAGCGCAAACATTTGGAGCTATCACTAGAATGTTCGCCAACTGAGATTAGTTGTGCAGAAGATTAGCTATAAAGCCGATGAGCACCAAGTTCAGGCAAGCACCACTTCAGTTAATATTAATATTTACAACAGAGGAATAGAGAGAAAAATCTGAAGTTCAATGATGTATGTGACTTGGATATTTTGTTGGACTTTTAAAAAAGCATCCACTCATAATATTATCAGCTTAAAGCAGAACTTGCAGGCAGTTAAAAGGTTTCTTTTTAGCTTTTGTAAAACACACACATCACTAAAGAACAGACGTATTCTTAATTTTATCTTATTAAAGAAAATAGAAGGTACAAAACAAGATAGTCTGAATCCACTAATGCACTGATTTAACTACATTCCATGTCAATTTTAAACCACAAGAGATAAGATTAGCTCATAGTGCAATATTTTTCATTTTTAAAAGTGTCCAATTAATAAAATTTCTTTGTTAGAGATGTTAGATGACATTTTTTTTGAGTCTGGAAGGGGGTTCTGTTTTTAAACTTCTTGCTTAGAATAGTTCAAAATAAAACTTCAGGGGTGACGGAGGCTTCTATTCTTCTCTTACTACTASTAAATGTTATTGCAAAAAATAATATTATTTGGCAATTTCACCACAATGATYTTCTGAATTTAGTAACCAGTTCAGTTCATTCTTGGATTACTTTTAGAGGGAAAAAAAATCATTTTATTTCCCATCCATAGAAGTTTTAGAAAAATAAAATATAGTTATTCAAGTTGAAAAGGAAATGGTCCTTGTGACTGAGTAACTACTCACTGCTGGACTTTTTCATTTTTCTTTCAAATGGCTGGCTGTAACTGCTAGTTGAGATAAGATACTGTCCTTGAGGAAACATTCACTGGTGTCAGATTGCAATTTATTTAATTGCACATTGGTGATTGTTGGATATTCTCCCATGAGAAAAAAAAATCTATTTTTCCAGAAAAGTTCTATAATCTTTATTAAAAAAAAAAAGGTTATTTTTCTATCAACAGCAACTGCCTCAGGAAAATCAAACCAGATAGGAAATTCTGAGGAGCAGTGCTTGGGATACACACATACACACATACACACACACACACACACACACACATACAGAGAGAGAGAATACATTAAGACTAAGTCAAAACATTAGCATGAAACATCTACCTTCACAGTAAATCAGGCCTAATCAGACCAACCATGCTCAAGCCAAGGAACATCATTCCTAGAAGATCCTTTCTATCATTCTTTAATACCTGCAAACTGCAAAATGTCTTCCTGGTACAGTATAAAGAGAATGTCACCTATCATTTGGTTTTCTCCAGGGTTTTGCAGCCAAGGAAAGTCCCATGAAATTCATACATGAGTCCCCCAAGCAGTACTGAATAGGGATATGCACAGCGATCCACAGTGAGGATCTTGTGCCTCACTGTCTTCCTCTGCAGCTCTGTAAGGCACAAAGCAACGGAGTTGGTATACAGCCTCCTTAAAACCAGGAGCCCATTGTACATCAAAGCATCTGTGTAGAGATTGGAAGATAGATCAAAAGACTAAACAATTTAAAAGATGTAGTTACTACATAGTAAGAAGCAGTTTTGTAAGTACATCAGAGGGAATTCCACTGCAAGTGAGTAAGGCAGCAGGCAGCTGTTGGAGAACACTTTGGCATTTAAAAGGAGAGACTCAGAGGTCCATGACAGCAAGCACGAATGAAGCATGCAGCAAGAGCATCAATTGAATCACCTCAAGTGCAGCACTCCATCAAACTTGATGCTTTCCCTCTGGGGCAGAAACTTCTGCATTTAACATTATCCTCTGTGACAAAACATCCATTGCAAGGAACTCCCAGCAAGAAGATTTGGTCGGTGACAGTTGCAAAGACAGCGTGCACTTGGCTGTGCAACGCCTGCTTAAATATTGTGATCAGTTTCTGACAGCTCCCAGGAACAGGCGACTACAAGGAGACAGAACCAGTGAAATTAGCCACTTCTATAGTCTGGTCTGGTCTGCAGCAATAGCATACATTGCCCAATAATTAAACTTTTTTGTTATTTGACCTGGACAGGGAACACAGACATCTATAGTCTTCGTGTATTTGGCTAGGTTGGTGATGCACATCTCCTATCCCACATGTCCCTACGGTTCATCTGAGATCAAAGCATYGGCGTTCAAATTCAGTGTTTTGTTATTTACTTGGAGAGATTCAAAACAAACAAWCAAAAAACTCTCTTTTTTGATATGTAGTTACTATTCTATTGCAGATGCTTAAACACTTTATTTAACCTAATGCCTTACCATGTTTGGGGCATAATTTGTCATAGCCAACATAAAATCCCAGTGGTAAAATAGAGACGTATATTAAGACTTCCATGATCTATCTTTTAATGGGCCCTACCTCATAACAGCCACTCTTAAWATAGCGATAGCCAAATGTGAATATCTGTGAATATGAATAATTAACATTATTGCCAGCTATTTTATACAAACTTCTTATAAATGTATGCTGACTTGTGGTCAAACTATGAATATCTCATTTATGCATTCAGAACCTGAATTGCTTTTACCTTCCATTACACAACTAGAAGAAATGAGCAATCTGCCCAAAGGCAGGAAAACTGTAGCAGAAAAGCTACTTCAGAAGATTAGTACATCCTTAATATGGATATTTATTCTTATCAGGTGAATCACACCTTAAGCCTTATGCTGACAGAGGATCAGATCAGTCTCAAACCTAAACCAGAACTGGACCAAGAAAAAAATGGCAAAGTCTCTTTCTGTCCTAATCCCATTTTCACCAGGGCTTGGAAGACTCCTGTACAAAGACCTTTTAAGGTGCACAAAAAAAATATAATTTATAGTATTGTATGTATTTAAATCTACAGCACACAGTCATGCATTCTGTGTAGAAATTTTTCTCTGTCTTAAAGCTGAATTATTTTGCAGTAGTTTGCAAGTTTTCTACTATTTATCAGCCATTTTCTGCATCTTCTCATCAAGGCGTATCTGACAGGCACTGAACACAGTTAATTCCACTTTTAGTACAGGCCTTTTTCTATCACAAGGCATAGTGCAATGTCAGCATCAAATCAATTTCTTCAAAATGGAGCTTCTGTTAACCTCTTTGGTATCATTGTGAAATCTTTTGAATTTAGTACCTGAAACACAGGCTATCACAAATTCAGTTAAAACAATTTTTAAGCTATTGTTGTGTCCACAATATTATAACAACATATCTTAGGACTACATAACCAAT